TTTAACACTTTAGGGCTATCGTTCCACAAGGCTCTTAGAAATCATAGATTCGATGCTGTATGAACTTTTGGTACATATTGCATTTAATCTTTAAACCGCTAATCTGAATGACTCGATATTACGTTTACTATGTTAAGGTGTTGGGTTGATTAGAGATGGTTGGTGGGAAACTCAGGACCCAGGTTTCGTCCTATTTTGTACTCGTTCACATGGCGTACCTCGAATTATAAAGGATTGATGGTGATACATTATCACTGACCATTTGGGAGGGCTACTGACCTGTTATAAACTAAAACAAAATAGCTATACATTCTGTCTTGGTTTGTGACAGCTTTCAGGCTGGTGAGTTAGGTGGTTGGTGAAAATCTGACGAATTTCGACCTCAAATACAACACCTACCTGATATTTACAATCAGTCAAACAAGTTAAAATTTATAGGATTAATTGTTTACCAACCAACGACATGATCAATTCCTCTGTTGCATCCAAATTCTTGAAGAATGTCTTTTAGGTCATCTATTAAATTATGTAGACCATCCTTTTGTATTCTGTCAACGTTGATTGCGTATCTTATCATCGAGTATCGTTGCGCAAACTGAGAACATATTTGGTTAGTTAAGGATAATTAGGGGAATAAATGAAACGAAACCGTTAATAGTTCGAGTCACCTACGACAACAGAATTCCCATATTACATTATAAAAATTAACTTTATCAGGATGTTTGTGAACATGGTTAACGTGGTTTTGTACTCTCTCTTATAGGTTAATTTGTGAATAAATATAGTATTGACCAATTTGTTTCAGTTGTTCATTTATTGAGAAAAATTAATGTTACTGTTTATGCTAGTTAAACTTTAGTTTACCAAATCATGTAATATAAACAATTCCATTTATGATGTAATCAAGTTAATAATATATTTATGTTGTTAATTATTATTGCTATATTACCAGTAATGGTGTAATTTCCTTTTTTTATTAAGAAAACGGGTTTTTTTGTTTTGAATATCCATATATTTGCACATTTAGGATGTTTATAATCGATTGTAAATGGTATTTAGGAAAAAGTGATATTTTCAGAATTGGTTTATAATGTTAATGTATTTCTATAGAGAGATGTCGGCGAGACTAATTTATGAACGAGCCAATTAGAGGCGTTTTAGAGATTTCAAGGTTATGGCGCCAACTTCAGTGCTTAATGCTAACGTACGATCGGTTCACAGGGGATTCTATACAAAACGTGATAATTGAGCGGCTATAACAAATAAAACGGCGATACTATAATTTATAGACGAATCAATCAGGTGTAAGATAATTGATCTCGGGTCTTAACGCGAAAGCCTTTCATCCATTTGGCTAAATAAAATTTGTGGCATTATAGCTGATGTCAGTTCGTGATGAAACCCCATATATAATTCCTAAGGCAAATTACGACAATTATTGCGAACTGGATAATAAAAGCACCAGTAACACTGGCTGCAGCCAGGTACTACAATATATATACGGATGATTGGGGAGCGTACAGACTCTCCTACATGGGCTTGGTTATGTGCATCGTGTCGTTATCCACAAGTAGCATCAACCGGTGTGCACATAAACAATATTGAAGCTATGTGGTCGAGGCTGAAAGAGTTTTTGAGACTTTATCATGACTCCAGAGGCCGACTATTCTGTAGCCGTATGGATGATTTCCTCTACTGCATGCATTACGACTTTAGAACCTCTGAACCTTTTTCTAAGCTTGACAAGTTTTTGAACCACGTATAAGAAGTGTATCCACTTTATTTCCTTGGTTTTGTATAACATATTTTTACTCTATACTGACTTTTCTGATTGGCTAATACTTCTCAAGGTCACTTAAGATTCGTTCAAAGGTCGTCCATAAATTAGAGTCTCCCCGAGATGTCAATATTTATAATAAATAATTATCATTAATTCTTCTCACTAATTCGTTCCATTTCTCTAACTGTAAAAGTAAACACTTGCCAGTTTAGTCAGCATCGACACAAGTCCCCACACTTCATTAGTACAACAAGACGAAAACCAAATTCATCAAAGTAGTCACTTCAATGGTAGTAATGTATAAAAGAAAGATTGCATATGAGGAAGAAAGTTCATAGAAAGAAAGATATGAAGCGATTTTAATCTCATAGTTTAAAGAAAGGCAAAGAGTGTATACACCTACGCCATTGTGATTGATTCTGAACCATGTCACCCAGAGTCTCCAACCTTTGGATACATTAGTTACGTGCACTCCAACCAAATATTCTGCATCTACCACTTGCCAGTTAATTAACATTTTCAAATATTTTATCTTTTGTATAACATTACCCTTTTTTGAATTTACACGTACCCTTGACTTTGTATTCAACTTGTTATTTTTAATTACTTGGTAACATTGAATAACATTCATAGCTGTTGTTCTACTGATCAAATGTATATTGTATCCATGCAGTTCAATAGTGCTTAGTTTATTTTACCACAGAAAATGCAAAATGTTATTCTCAATAACAAGAAAAATGTTGTAATCATTCATAACTTCAAGACTTTTTGTCTTTGCGTATATTTCAAATTTTTAGAATGGAATTTTCGAACTCAGATTAAGTGTTAGCTTATTGAAAAAAACTCATCTGAAGAGGCTATAAATTCATATAGAATAAATTTAGATTGATTTGTGTTACAGTTTTATATCAACTGATGAACAAGTGAAAACCAGGAAGTATTGTTTATCTCTTCAATCTTAATTTGAAACTCCTCAACAATGCTCACTCACGACCCAGTCAAGGATCGAATTCGGAGTCTTAAAAGATGTATCAAATAACCTAATGACATTATACAACGAAGAATAGTAATTCTATCATACAACCTAGACTATAGTAGGCGCAATAAGTTTGAATTTTCGAACCAACAATTTTATGGTTTAGACTATTCACTCGCTACTGATTGTTCTTTTGTATACACATTCGAATGATCTCTGTCATAGAGTTTCGCATTATGGCCTGGATATTTCATTATCAGCCACTCAATTATTGTAATGAACCCTGAATTTGTATCTAGTTCTTTTCTTTGCATCATGGTATTATCAGTATTCATCACATAATAATAATAGTACAAATAAGTTTCACTTTACTAGACCTCATTGTTTCTGATTGCTTACAAATGTAAACTGGGTGTTTGGAACTGCCAAATACTAAACAACCAAAGTATTGTAATGATTATCGAATGTCTTCAACAACCCCCCGATGATAGTATAGCAACTTAACCTGACACGTTCCAGGCTCTGTGTTAACTATAACCGTTGATTGGTTGCTGCTAGTATGATCTCCACTAAGTCCGTACAACCGAGTAGCTTTAAAATTGTACAAGGCATTTATTTAGTGCCTCTTAGTCCTCAGAAGTTTTCCAGCTGAAGTAACTATGGTAGAATTTGCAATCAAAGGTGTTTAGTCATGATCAGAATTTCCGAACTTTAATCATGCAGATATCATTACATTTTCTGATCTATGCACCAACTCCTGTTTTATGTATTCTAATAAATAAAATAGTTGGTTGATATATTTGTTATTTTGTAGTTATCATTCTTATTTTGTCAGAAAACTGACTGTAAAAGTCAAACAACGTGTTAAAAATCACGTAGTAATGATGTAATCTAATAGTCTAGTTACTCAGCTCTTAATAAATCGACTATATCTTGCATGTAAGATTGTTTGGTCTTGTTCAATAAAGTCTCTAGTAGTTTATGATTTAATATTTCAGTTCATTTGCTAACTAAAAAGTTTATATATAATAGCCTTGAGGTATTTCTTTTATGTTATTTCCATCCGGTTGTCCAAAGTGAGTAGATAGGGCCAGAACTCAAACCAGTGATTTCGTGGTCGAAATCTGAGTATTGTAACCATTTAAACTACTTGATCTACAGTGGGCTACATTATTTCGGACATAGTTACTTAGGTGGCTTTCATCATATTTATTAAATATATTAACTGTTAATCGGTTCTAAATTTTAACAATAGAAATTCGACAGTTTTGTTTCTCTTGCCAGTGTGGTTCACCTTTTTTGACAGAAATAGAGTTCAACTTTATTTATCTTTAATCATTTTAGTTTTAATTGTCTTTTTTCCTTTGAAAACAGTGGAACTAGACTCTCAGACAAATCATGGATCCCATTAAAAATTCATGTGTAGATAATTTAGCTAAAAGGTTTTCATGGAGTTTGATTTGATTTGTCATCTACACTCATCTTAGACTGATCTTAGTTAAAATATCACTGGATATATCGGAATTGAAACCGTTGTCAACAATATGGCGTTGGATGAATGTCCCTTTATAATGCGGATCAATTGAGGTTAAGACTGTACATCTGGAAGCCGACCCGAATTGGGATGGTTGGACGCTCACTACAAGACCTGAATGGCCTGAGGTCGATCCCTGGTAGTGTCATGGTGCTCAGTACCAGGCAGTTGTATGGTAGGATGAAACATATATCGACTTTTGTTGGCTTTCTAGTGGTCCCTTAGCTTAGATCTATCTATGGTGAATATAAATTAAATAGACTTCCACGAAAACTCTTCAACTTAACTGTAACGGTCAGCTCTCTATTAACTTACTTGAATATGTTCATGAAGTTCTAGTAAGAAATAGTGACTGGTAGTTTTAAGAGACTCTGGGAACTAAACACTGATCACTAATGAGATTAGATGGTTATCGATGTGTATCTCAAATCAACTGTAAATAATTTGCGAAATTCAATCTATATATAACGTTCTCATACATTCTTTTAACAAAGGATTCACATAATACTTTAATTTAACTTTCAAATAGTTACCTTTACTCAATGTTTCAAGCTGAGTCTCGATTATGGTATCTCGTTTCTTTTTGCATATGATCTACAATAAAAAATACTGAATGAGTTTCATTTCACTTTATTTCATGTCTTATCAACTTTTTCGTATCTATCAACATTCTCATCTCTCTATTATTGTTGTTCTTTTTTATCTCTTAGGTTGTTGTTAATTCAGTGTTAAAAGCTGGACTCGAGTATCAAATACATGGTCAATTTCATGAATGGCGTGATCCAATCACTTCTAGAGTATATGGTTTACATTTTCCGGAACAAGAAGATGCTGCAATGTTTTTGAAAACAATCAATTTTATTTTGAATAGACTGACAAATCCTGTAAGTTATATTTTAGAAATTGTTAGGAAGAATCAATTTAATATTTTTTTACTATTACGTTTTTACTATAATTGATTAGTGGCTAGCAATGGATTACAGGTTGCGTATTTCATCATATTTAGGACTAGTAAACTAGATACTCCTGGATCCCTAATATTGATATCCACACATACTCAAACCTAATGCCTTTCTCCTCAAACGCTAATGCGTTACTCACGGAGCTACGAATTCCAGACAATCATTGCCAATATCAAGGCAATTTTCTCAGGAATCACACATATCAATAGAGACGGGACATTTATAGTACTTAACATCAACGAAAATGTGCCAAACTAGGTTTTTATGTCGTGCTGAATCTTAGTTAAAAAACGATAAATCTTGCTTTATTTTCATTCGTTTCTTCTATTGATCAATGAACGTTAATTATCCTTTTTAATCAACACTTTGCTTATCTGTATTTCAAGGTTATCTAAACAGAAATATAAACAGTAGTGTTGTTTATATAAATAACACTGAGATCATTCTTTGAAAAAGATATTTCTTCATCATTTGTATTGGATTATTAAGTATAGTTAAAGTGTTTTTAGATTTTTGTTCTTCCAGTAATTTAAAATTTCATCTCATCTCTCCTTCTTCCTCACTTGTGCTAATGTGGTATGGCAACTCGAACTGATGTACATACATACGAAATTCTAAGTTGTTATTGACTGACTCTTACTCTCTCTCTGTCTCCCCAACGTATGCGTATTATCAACCCTCGATTGATGCTGATATTTAGTGGTAATTTTAAAAATGAAAGTGTTCTAAAATTTAAGTTAACTGACAACCAATTAGTTAAAGTCAGTTGTATTTAAATATTATTGAGTAGAAAATTGTTAATTTCATTCTAAAAATATACACATTCATTTGACTATCATTTCAGTGGCTTGTCATAGTGTAGTGAATAGAACACGAGTGGAGACAATCGAATGTATTTAACACAAAATTACAGGACTTGTTAATAAAATTTAACAATCATAAAGTAAATGCTTAATTTGCAAAATGTCCACCAATTGTCTCAAAATGACTCAGACTTCATTGTGCTTGCATTTTCATACGAATTACATCCTGTTTCCATTCTTTACTTTTCGATCCTATTATCTCTCTGCTACCAGACTTTGTGTTCACAACTAACGTCATCTATTACTTATGTCAATATAAGTAGTAGCAGTAGTAGTAGTTTCGGTTACTCGTTACTGTTAGCGGGACCTATATTAGATTAAAACGTGTTCCATGAAGGATTATGTTGGTGCACGCTGATTGAATATTGTTTAATTAATCAGTGCTAGTGGATACTTGGAGAAAATTGTAGAATCTTTTTATGTAAAAATTAGAAATATACTGACGTTTTTCTTATAGTGATTCTGTTGAGGTCCTGATAAGTATAGTGAATGGTAACTTTGGGATCCATTTATGGACAAACACCAAACGTACATTTTTATCGTATAACTATTAAATAACTAAACTATTCATATTCATATTCTTCTTATTATAAGCTTTATTTCGACCTATGAACTATTAATATACGATTTACCATTCTTGAATTAGGCCCTGTCTATTAATTACTATCTCCCATATTCACAGCCACATTTGACCAAATCTTGTACAAATGTTGTTTTCGATTTTATGGTACGATGTGGTCTGTCTGGTTGATTTATAATGATTCACATCGCAAAGGCTCGGATTTGTGTTCTGGACTTAACTGGCTGGGCTAGGCGGAAGCAGGACCAATCAGGAGTCTAGGCTGCTCATACGGGTTTACGCGTCATTGATCCGATCGATAAGTCACTACTCTCTAATCGGCGGTATCGTTACGTTATACATTAACAAGGCATGCAGTCCACAAGTTATAGCAGATTCCCACTTTCATCCATTCTTGCTATTTGGAACATAATCATGTTCTTGTTCAACCGTATTCTGATTTCGGGGCTTGTAGAGTGGAGTAGTGATCAAGATTATTGAGCAATAAGAGTAGCTGGGTCGTAAAAAGAGAAAAAGTAACAGTCACATATTCAGTCATGGTAATGACACTAATAACACTAAAGCTTATGATATGAAACTCACAATCTAAGTGATTTATGACAGAAACTGTCATAACATACTGTACACTTTTAATATAAAGGCCAATTCTCTGTGTATGTGTGTATGTATGTTCAGGGGGATACCCCTGAACATACAGTTAGTTTGTCAATTACGCTAATTGTTAAAATAAGAGAAAATTTTTAATAAACCGACAATAACTGAGAAAAATTGGTGAACCGATTCAAATTGATTGTCTTTTATTTAGTACTTGAGCTAATATATCGTATTGAAATCAAGTTTAATGGTATTTTTAGTAGTAATCAAACCAGAGAGGATGCATTAACTTAAATATGGTTTTTTACTCTCTTATTTGTTAAACAGTACATACCATTCTTATTAATCATTAGTAATGTATTTGTTATAACTACTCACTGGCTTGCACTCTTTTAGTCGATATGTCGGGGGAATACACGTCAATAGAGATCTTAATTTATTCTTCTCGTGTTCGACTATGCTGATCCGTCTTTCGACTGGCTACGTAACTTGACCAATGAGACGTCTAGGCTAGCATTAATAACCTCAGTGACTGATAAGATAATGTTGATTCTTATTAGTTCGCGAGTATAAGCGCTTCTATCTCTTCCCAGTCTTGAGTCCGATAAGAGTACACAGTTGACAATCTTTTATTATTATATTTCAGGCACTCAATATATCTTACCCAAACACTCATTACTTTCGGTACATGAATTAACAGATCGTAACACGCTTTAAATCTCCGCCTGTGGCTCTTCTAGGGCTAAAACTGGACCCAAGCTCGGGCAAAGGTACAGGATTTGACAGTGGGATCGAAAGCCCTATCCTGTAGAAAACAACATTGCTAAAAAAACGCCAACCAGAACAAACAATTTAAACTCTGCTCTGGGAGTTGAAAGAATTTTGACACCTTACGATGAAAGCCGAGATTCTTCATAAGTCATGACGTTGATGCCCCTTCTAACAACCAGAGTAACATTTAATATCGATACATGGAATCTCCAGTCAATGTGGGAGACTGGAAGGACCAGTCGAATAGCAACGGAAATGAGTAGATTCAACTTGGCGGTTCTCGGAATCAGTGAAACCCACGGGACCTAGGCTGGACAGCAAATATTAGATTCGAAAGAGATTCTGTTGTACTCTGGCCATGAAGAAAAAATGCTTAGAACACACAGAGAGTCGCTCTGATGCTGTTCAAGGAAGCACGAAAAGCACTCATAGGATGGGAATCTCGTGGATCGAAGATCATAAAAGCGTTCTTCAAAACAAAGAAGGTTGGAATCACAATGAATGTTATGCAGTGTTATGCACCCGTCAACGATAACAATGAAAGTGATAGAGATCAATTTTATTAGAAGCTCCAGTCGATTGTAGAGAAGTGCCGAGGAAAGGGCCTGACCATCCTGATGAGAGACCTAAAATCAAATTCGAAATGGACAATACCGACTTTGAAGATATTACAAGCCGATATGGACTGACCGCGAGAAACGTACGAGAATGGCGAGAGGTTTGCAAATTTATGTTCATTCAACGAATTGGTTATAGGCGACACAATATTCCCACACAAACGCACACACAAATCCATATAAGTCTCATTGGACCACACCACCGAGAACCAGATAGATCATATTTGCATCACTAGGAAATTCAGAAGGTCAATGGAAGAAGTGAGAACTAGGAGAGGGACTGACATAGTTTCAGATCACAACCTGATGGTTGCCAGGATGAAACTGAAGCTAAAGAAACACTGGACAGCTGGGTAAACAGCATTACAGAGGTTCTATATAGCCCTCCTTCGAGATGCTGAAAAATTCGATGAATTCAAGATAAATTTCAACAACAGGTTGCAAGCCTGCTTCGGTTTGGGCACCTCGGCAGTATCACAGCCCTCACACATATCAAATGAGATTTGTGTGACACATATGTATTTGATGCCTCCTCGTACCAATATCTATATGTTAAAATAAAATAAATAATAAATACAGGTTCCAAGCCTTACAAGGTCTACTCAAGGAAGGAGGAACTACTATGAAGACCAAATCAGCTTCCAGCTGAAGAGGAAATTAGGAAACGACGTTAGGAGTGAATAGGACATACATTACGGAAATCACCAATCTGTATCACGAGGCAAGGCCTAACTTGAAATGCTGAAGGGAAGTGAGAAAGAGGAAGGCTGAAGAGCACACTACGTCGGGAATTGGAAGTAGGCATGAACAGTATGATTAGCAACTGGAAAGGATTGCCCAGCACATAGTTGTGTGTAGAATACTATTGCGGCGGCCTGTGTTCTTCTATAAGGCGTAAGTAAGTAAGACGCTTTAAATATAAAATAGCACTTTACATACAATCATGCCGGAAATCAAACAAACGGTCCATAATTAATAAACGATATTTAATGAGTAATGAGTTGTATAAAGATAGTTAATGGATGCGCTTCTCTCTCTCTCTAAATGCAAGTTGTTGCTTCAGGACCGGTCTGTGTCAACACCTGAACTAAGGATAGGGAGTGAAGTAGTCGAACGCGTTGACAACTTCACTTATCTTGGAACTCTGATCAGCCCTAATGGGTTGGTATCGGACGAAATCTTAGCACGGATTCGAAAAGCTCGTTTGCCTTTCGCCAACTTACGTCACCTATGGCGAAGGCGAGATATCCGTCTATCAATAAAAGGACGAGTATACTGCGCGGCAGTCCGTTCTGTTTTAACTTACGGCAGCGAAACATGGCTATTAAGAGTAGAAGACACTAGTAAGTTACTAGTATTTGACCACAGATGCCTTAGAAATATTGCTGGCATCTGCTGGGATCACCGAGTAAGTAATAGTGAGATTAGACGCAGGGTATTAGGAAATGATGGTAAATCAGTTGATGAGGTTATGAATCTTCATCGACTGAGATGGAT